CCTCTTTTTTCCTTTTTTTCTTTCAATTTAATTAGATAATTGTTTTTTTTGTGCTTCATCTTGTTTTCAATATGTCGTTTGACAAATAATTGTACTTAGTTATATTGTATTTCCTAATTAATCTACTCACGTGTGTTTCAAGATTTTATATTTTATATGTTTTGTACTTTTTTTGATAGTTAGTCTTCCCAAAAAAATTTTGCAATAACAATTTAAGTTTGAACAAATCATTGTACGCTTCTCATAGCTTGGTTGAAAATGATATTGGTTGGAAATTACTGACTAGCATTGGGTTGAGAGAGAATAGAGACCCAAGACCACCCAACAACTAATATATCTATTAATGTTATATGTTTTTTTTTTTTTATCTTTGTTGACTTTTCTTAGGCCTCTCAATGTTTCCCTTTTCCTTGAATGTTTCCTATTTAAAAATAAAAGGTATAAATGCACCGAAAGTCCTAATGTAATTGAATTATAAAACTTTAAAAAATTACAATCAAGTCCTAATATTTATCATGAAAATGTAATTGAGTCATCAAACTATTAAAAAGTGCAATCAAGTCCTACAACTTCTCACAAATGTGTAATTAAGTTCAAAAACTTTGAAAAAGTACAATCAACGAAATGACTTGATTTGATAAATTTGATAAGTTTTAGGATTTGACTGCACTTTTTGAAAGTTTTAGGACTCAATTGTACTTTCGTAACAAATTTTAGGATTTAATTGCATTTTTTGAAAGTTTTATAACTTAACTGCACTTTCGTAATAAGTTTTAGGGCTTCCATTGCAATTATTCCTTTCGACCAAAAAAAAGAAATGCACTTATCCCTACAAAAAATTCCTACATAGTATTTACTGGTGGATGAACCAAAATGATCCCGTGTGCTATTGCATTTCAAGAAAATATTTACCTATTATTCTCTAGCAGAATCAAATATTATTTACATTGAATATTCTATGAAGAATTACACGTTTTATATATTAATGCTCGTATGTTTTGCAAGTTTTAGGTACTTAGAATTATGTTTTGACTTTTTATAAGGATGAGCTTTCGAGCAAAATTTGAAAAACAAAAGGCATTTTTTAATCTTTAGAAATTTCATAAATTACATGGAGATGCAGATGCCAATATCTATTAATTCAAAAGTTTTAGGTATTCTTACACGAGTCTCACGATTTGCCAAAGACCAAGAAAAACAAAAGTACTCCAAAATGCTCTTGGGACTAAGCTTGATACTTCAATGAACAAAATGGCTCTCTTAACTGGCCATAGCCTTTGACTTATCATTCGTTCACGTAGCCAATCTCAGCATTTACATTGGCGTCATCTTAAATTGAAATTTTATTATCCCACCCTCATCTTTTTCTAATTATTTATCATCATTTATAAATTGATTTTCCATAACTTTGCACCGTCATCTTCAGCTACCCTAATCTGCCCAAGTCAACTACACAAGAATTGTCCAATTAGGGTTTTGATTTCTGGTACCTCCATGATTGTATTTGGTCATGAGCTCCTCCAAGTCAACGAAAACTCTACCTCTTCCTCCCTCCATGTGTAACCAATTTTCTTTCAAATTAATTCATAAGTAATGATTATCCATTTGATTTTTCTTTGGTTTTTTCCCCTTATTTCTCTAATTTGAGCAATATTTTTCTACTCTTACCAAACTCGAGAGTGCTTGACTCGGTTCTTCTTTCGTCCCAGCTCCATCTTTTTTCACACACGCACACGGACAAGGGCACGCAGAGAGAAGCTTCTACTTGTAAGTTGGTGTTAATATATACAAATCTCTAATTGACATCGCGATAAACTAAATGAATTTCTAATGAAGAGAAGAACTTTCAGCAAAGCATTTTTTAATTTTTTCTATTTACTTTGTGTAAAGCATAAGCCTGCATGTTAATTAAATTGATAATGCACTGCTTATTGAGTCTAAGGCCCCTCCAAAAAGTCCTACCTGCTCTGCCGTGTGGTATACATATAATAATTCATTGATTTTTGGGGTGTAGAGCATTGATGGGTAGGGATAGCTTTTGCGCACGGAACTAAGTTGGTGTTTCTGATTCGGTCAGAGGCAGGACATTCATGCAAGAACCAAGGGTTTATATCGAATAAGACTAAAAAATCTCTCACGTTTTGAAGTGCAAGGTCCCAATCGTTTGACTACCTCGAGCAATACCTTGGTTTGTTGGTCTACAAAATCGAAACTTCAATTTCGTCCTTGGGATACTGCACTACCTGTCTTATAAATTGGAGTTGTTAAATTGTTTTGATGATAATGGCATCTTCATTTACGATTTTAAGTTACTATTTGTATCGACAATACACCTGATCATGAGCTTGACGGTTCAAGAGCCACAAGGGTTTAAGGACATTTTTGGACATGCATAGGCAAGGGCATTTAGTGAGAAAACCCGACCCAGATGGGCCGGAGTTAAGTCACGCACGCACCCAATGATTTGTATAAAATACTTTTATGATGGGCGGGATTGTGCAAAATCTTACCCTTGATATTAAGGTACAGCTTGCCTTGAACCCACCCAACGACTACAACTACTTGAAAGTGGTTTCGCATTACTTTTCATGATTAAAATAGAGCAGATTTCCTACTTGAATTTATTTCGCACACATCTTCTAAGGCATAAAGTGATGGATGTAAACCGTTCTTCATAAATTTTCTAGAACTTTAGGGTTCGGACACTGAAGTGGTTAGTTTGTGCGTTCCTCATACCGAGGCCATGGGCCTTGTCGTAGCCATGGATGACCTTGATTGAGGTCACCCATGGCAGCTCTCCACCTTGATTGTGTATGTGTGCGAGCAGGCACCGACGATTGAGAGCAGAATGACGGTTGCCTACAATGCCGACGACTTTGCTCCAACCACGGTGGGTCACGGTGGATGGAGGAGGCTGCGAGCTATATAGGGCAGGCGGTGGCTTGGAGAGTTGGAAATGAATGCTAGAGTTTGTGTTGGGTGAGTTGACGAGGGGGGTGGAGGGAAATTTGGTAATTTCGGCCAAGAGGATGGAAAGCGGTGTTTCTAAAATTAAGGATAAAAAGTGGTGTTAAGGTCAAATGTGAGAAGGGTATTTGGTATTTTTCCAATTCAAATAACCTTTTCTTCTTTCTAAATGAGAATGCACTAGGATTTCTAGAAGTCTTCCTTTTGTTTTCTCTCCTTGTCTTCTTATCGTACGAACGAGTCAAGGCCATGCTGTCCCTAGCAGGCACTGACCATGTTTAATGACCTAATTCCCTAAAAAAATCATTAACTTTATGTCGAGTCTCAAATCTGCCTCAAACTTTTTTTATCTAAGAAAATACCCCAAGCTTTAGGTCTAGTCTCAAATCTGTCCCGAACTTTTATTTTATGTAAAAAAATCACCAAAATTCAATTTATCTTCAAAAATATATCCCAGTGATCCAGTCCTAACTTGACGTGGCACTTTCACGCCGATAATAAATCCACATCAGCAAAGTAATGGGTTTTTTTTAGACAAAGAAAAGTTCTGAGCAAATTTGGACTGAACCTAAAAATTAGGTTTTTATTTTTAAAGTAAAAAAAGGTTTTTGGGGTGGATTTGTTATCATTCCTAACTTTTATATCTTAAAATAGTTTTATTTTGGAGAATTTCAACAATTTTTATTTGGTTTGATTTGTTATCGAAGCGGAAATGCGACACCAGTCTGTACCTATCGCCCAATTACTTTGCTGATGTGGATTTGTTATGACGTGGAAGTGTCACGTCAAGTTAGAACTGGATCACCGGGGTATATTTTTGAAAATAATTGAATTTTGATGATTTTTTTTTACATAAAATAAAATTCGGAGTAGATTTGGAACTGGACCTAAAGTTTGGGGTTTTTTGAGACAAAAAAAAAAAAAAAGTTTGGGGCAGATTTGGGACTTGACCTAAAGTTGGGGGTTTTTTAGGGAATTCACCCTATGTTTAATTAATGGAACTAAGCTGCACACAGGCACACAACAGAAGCACCATTTCATTCACAAACACATCTTCATCGAACCAAACCTAATTCCTTGAGCACGACACTTCTTATATCGAAAACGTTGGGCCGTTTTACCTGTTCAATGCAACAGAACGCGTCCTCTCCACAATAAAATAGAAGTGCTAAATTATGTGACCGATGGTCAGTCCCTTGCAACTAGAGATTGCCGGTGATTTCATTATTGAAACCTCGCAACCACCATGATTTCCCTTGATCAACATTGAAAGTCTTGCAGATCACCAACTATAATTTATTTAACGAAAAAAATTCTACGAAAGCCAAAGTCCGATACTACTCGGAGCCGATGCAACTTGACATGTTTTTATATCGCTTTCTTTTCTTCGTATTTTCGAAAGAAAGTTGTTAATAATGACGTACGAACTTACTGTTGACATGAGCACGAGATGAGGAGCTCTAGAAGTGAGTCACGATCCTAGCTGTTTCAAACTTGTCCATGTTGGAGCAGCCAATGTTGAATTTTAGAAGACATTATAAAACAGGTTAAAGGTGCTAAATTAGCTCTTAATCAAGCATGTCCCACTTTAGGGTAACTCTTGGAATAACATATGTTTATTGTGTGGGGGGGCCAAAAAATGTGAAGAACCGCGTGTTGGGTCGGATCGCCTTTATAAATTCAACACAACCAACGCTACCTGACTTCACCTACGTTTGCCTCCTCAACCATTTGCATGTAAGAATTGCTTAAAAAGGGCCAATCAAATTAAAAATATAATGGTTGATTAGTGAGTGTTTAAGAAGTTTCATCCTGCTTTCTTTCATTCATTGAATAGTCAAGATCACAGCGTTAAACCCCTCTGTACTCCAACAACACATTACATATATAGGCACACATGACCTCACTCTATAGATTTTTTATGCAAAAAAGTGAGAAAAGATTTTAACTGAGATATAGTCAAGGATTGTATGCAGTTTAAATATTCGAAGAAATAATTTCAAAATTGCGCCATCTTACCTTCTTCGAAGATATGTCACTGCCCACGTATTCTATAAATGCCAGCTCACGGTCTCTAAATCCAAATAAACACCAATCAAGCATCTATCTTCATGTGTCAACTATTCAAGCCAATTTGAACCTGATCATTCTCACCAAAATGAAGAGAAACCCTCATGTTCACCTCTCTCTAGCCCTCTTGGCGATAGTCCTTTCCATCGCCTTCTCCTCTGTAACTCGTTCCAATGCCCAACAGCCTCCATACAGTTACCCTCCAAGCTTCCCAAACCCTAGGCTCGACAGGGCTTACATTGCCCTCCAAGCCTGGAAGCACGCCATCACCTCGGACCCGAAGAACTTCACCGGAAACTGGTGCGGCCCTGAGGTGTGCAACTACACTGGGGTCTTTTGCGCCCCGGCCCCTGGCGACCCACACAACCTCACCACAGTGGCCGGCATTGACCTCAACCATGGCAACATCTCAGGATGCCTCCCGGAGGACCTTGGCCTCCTCACCGACCTCGCACTGTTCCACATCAACTCTAACCGCTTTGAAGGAACTCTCCCCCAGAGCTTCCACGACCTCCGCCTTCTCTTCGAGCTCGACGTGAGCAACAACCTCCTCTCTGGCAAGTTCCCCACCGTGATCTTCGACCTCCCTTCCCTCAAGTTCCTTGACATACGCTTCAACATGTACCATGGCAAAGTGCCGGCTAGGGTGTTTGACTTGAAGCTAGATGCCTTGTTCATCAACAACAACAACTTCAGCTTTAGCCTGCCGCCGAACATCGGCAACTCCCCGGTCTCTGTGATCGTCATCGCGAACAACAACCTCAGCAGCTGCCTCCCCTCGAGCATATCAAACATGTCAAAGACCCTCAATCAGATCATCATCACAAACTCAGGGCTGACTGGGTGCTTGCCGCCGGACATCGGGGCACTGAAGAACGTCACGGTCTTTGACGTAAGTGGTAACGACCTGGTCGGGGAGTTGGCAGACACGATCGGGGACATGAGGAGCTTGGAACAATTGAATGTGGCTCGCAACAAGCTATCCGGTGAAATCCCAGAGAGCATATGCTCTTTACCTAAGTTGCAAAACTTCACTTATTCAGATAATTATTTCTGTGGAGAGCCAGAGATCTGTCTCAAGTTGCCAAGTGAGGATGATAGAGAGAATTGCATTCCTGAGAGGCCACTCCAAAGGTCAGCCGAAGCATGTGCGGCTTTCTATTCACACCCTGTTGACTGTGGAGCCTATGGCTGCTGGCCCCGAAGCCTGCCACCGTCGCTGCCTCCGGCGATTGCTCCTTCTCCATCGCCACTGCCTCATTAGTTCCACTAATAGTCTTGATCGCCGGACAGAGACTTATTGAAAAGAAAGAAAGAAAGAAAAAGACTTGTCTTAACAACCTTTTTTAGGTTTAGTTTCTTAGCCAATTGTGTTGCTTGTATAGGAGGGTTTGGTTTTGGACCCCCTTTGTTTGGATTGAGAAAAAAAATGGAAATTTTAATTTACTTTGATTTCTATATTTTATGTATAGGGGGTTTCCCATAATACAAGGTACGTGCTGTTGCTAATTTTTTTAAACGAATAAAGGTAGCTGTAAATTTCTTCTCTTGGTCAATTGATAAAGCCAGATTATAAAAGTCCCATTGCCTGCTTGATCCTATCTGAATTTGCCCCCTTCGAAAACGACTTGTATGTAAGACTCTTGCCATTGCACACACCAACCCCAATTATCATTCAACAAAGGCGAAATTCACCTATTCATATGGTCAATCTATATTCATACTATATTCCTGCAGGTACTAGGAAAATATTTTAATCCGACTTGGTGGGCATATGTTAAGAATTTAATTGACTCGAGGCTTTATCTAGGTATGCTGTCCTATCTGAAGAATGCAAGGCCGCCCTAATTTTGTAATTTTTTGCGAGAATTGATTGGAGGGAAATTCGAAATTTTCTAGGAAAATTCGAGATTTCTCTCTTTCTTTTCCTTTATCACGCCGTAATCGTGCTCGCCAAATCGACAACGGGGATAAAGTAATTCATTCGTCATCACAAACATAAGGTCACTATAATTGAAATAAACTAATCTTCAGTTCCATTCATCGAATGCATGGAACTTACCTTGACTTCCAATTGATGTGCATTGATCATTACCTACCTAATGTTTTGATGAACAATTGATGTGTTCGTTTATGTGGCAAAACACGTGATGAAGACAAACATGTGAAGTCGATGTCTCGTATAGGTGATGCCACATGAACCTAAATAGACATCGAAAAACAGACCTTTTATCTTTTCGAAAGAAACAAACCAATGAAGAGAGGAGAAGGGGGAGGTGGAGGAGTCGCCGCCGGCTGGGGGTCGACGGGATTGTCAGCGACCACAATCTGGCCCTCCACCCGTTCTTTCCCTCCCTACCAAACCCTTCTTCTAGCTCCACCAAGGCTCCATTCGAGAAATCAGTCTGGAAAATGGCGAAAAAAGTTATAGGGCGAAGAAATTAGGGTAAAATTTTTGTGGGTATGAAGAGGAAGGAAAATTTTTAAATTTGAGAGAATTTCTTTGCATTTTCCAGTCTCTCGTTCTTCCAAAAATAGCCTAAAGAAAAATGGAAACAATTTGGAGAAGATGAAAATAAAGTTTATTGTTTGAGGCATGTAGCATTGTTCTTGAGAATAACTCCGCCCTTCGGATAATAAAACTAGGTGCAATGGACAGACCTTCATCATTACTCTGCTCAAAATACAAGAAGGAACAGGAACAACAAAATTACATTTAAAACCCAATAAAAAAAAGGAAAGAAATGGAAGGAGACAAGATAAATTTCTTGTCGAGGTGTGCAAATTTGGAGTGTGGTTTAAAGGTTCTTTTATAGGCAAATGAAATAGAGGGTTGGTGAGAAACAAATTAAATCAGCCGTTTGTCTTTCATCAATTATTGCAAAATCCATTATCCACCATGTGTAAAAATCAAGCCGCTTTTCATCAAATTGATGGTTATCAAAGCCGTTACAAACCAATGACTTTCAATTTTCAAAACCGTAGAAATATTCAACAATTATCCACACATTTGATAAGGTTTTGAAAGAAAGGAAAGCATTATGTTGGGTTAAACTCAATTGAATGTAATGCATCGAAGTTGGTGACTATTGGGCTATGAACCAGACCTACAAAGAATGAAATATAATTCACATAATTAGTGGTGAAGTTTGAAACTTCTATGAATCAAGAATTTCTTTTGTGAGTTATAATTTTCAACAATTACACTACAACCCACGATTTTGTTCTTAAATGTGATTTTGCACTAATAGGCCATATGCATGCTTGGTTTATTCATGAATGTTCTAGAGATTTTGCCAAATATCTCATGGGAGCGACTTCGCTCCACACTTATATAGGTGATTCCATCTAATGTATATTGCAATTTATTATATAACTAATAATGGATATGAAATTCATTTGGAACTTAACTTAACCTCTCTTTCATTGCAATCTTGCTCTATTCTCAATTTAGGAGGGACAATAATTATTAATAGTGTATAACTAGATCACCAAGTGAACTGATATTACTCATATGAACTTAATTTATGGGATCGCCAATCACATGGGTTGGGTTATTGTCGTTATTGACTTTTCTCAACTGGCTTAAGTCCCATTCCCTTTGATGTATCATTAATCAATTTTCTTCCCAAAGGCTTAGTTAGAGGATCGACCAAAATCATTTATAACTTCACATAATCAATGGGCATATCCATCTCTAAGCAACTTCTTTACCACATCATGTCTCAATCGGATGTGTCTATTTTTACCATCAAAAGTTTAATTCTTTGCAATGGCTATTGCTGCTTGACAATTATAATGCATAGATACATAAGGTGTCAGTTTCATTCCCAAAAAAATATTTACTTAGAAGTTTCTAAACCACTCAACCTCATTGCCAGTCAATCTAGAGCTACAAACTCTGACTCCATGGTGGACTTAAGGATTATTGTTTGTTTGGCTAATTTACAAGCTACAGCACCTCCACTAAGGATGGACACATCCACTATTGGATTTTGTCTCATCAAAATCCGAGATTCTATTAACATCACTATATACTTTTAATACAACGGGAAATCTACTATGTAAATTGTCATAGTTTATGGTTCTTCTCATATATTTCATTACTCTGCCCAAGGTAGTCCAATGATCACCATTGGGATTTTGTATATATCTATTTGCTTAGTCTACAAATAACATAAACTATATCAGGTCGAGTATAGTTCATTAATGCATCAAACTCTTCATAATCTAAGCATACTCAGACTGAGCCACGCTATCCCCTCTATTTTTATTAGTTAGGTATTAGCTTAACTCTTAAGTGTGACATCAAAGTGTCCATATTTTTAAAGTAGCATCTCTACATAATGCTCTTGAGTAAGCATTATGCCACTATTACTCCTTATGATTTCAACACTCAAAATAACATAAGTGTCTCCCAAGTCTTACATATCAAATTTCGAAGTCATAAAACATTTTGTTTCGGCACACATTACAAATTTATTGAAATATGTGTTTTTAATCTCAGAAATCAACCTTATTGTCGCATTTTCTTAATATAAGAAAAGCTAACATGTCATAATCTAACACGTCATATGTCAATAGATTCAATCGGGTAGGCAGAGGAAGTAACATCTCCATCGAAACATCAGAAACGTTAAGAACAACAAAGTCCACGATTACGATAATCCTTTCCCACAAAGACATTATTCTTTGTCACGACAATCTTGTCAAAACAAAATTTTGTACATTTTCTATATTGCCCTTGGAAATACTAAGGTTATGGGCCTCTAGAAGTTTCAAGGATTGAGTTTGGGCTTGTTGGGCCATCTTCTTTGGTTTATTGGGCTTTACAATTTTTATGGTCCATGACACATGGAGTATATATAGCTACTTGTAAGTTTGGCAAAGTTAGGGTTTTTGAGCGTCCAAAGAGAGGGTTTGCAAACTTTCAGCCGCCGGAGCCGTCTCTCTGCGCCACCAGGGAGCCCCTCGTCTCCTCCAGCCATGGCCGTCGGGTACCTCCCTCCTCCTCCATCTTCCCTAGCTCGCTTCGTAGCCATTGCCCTGTTCGTTTTCTGGGTGAAGATGGGCTGATGTCTTTGTCCCCTTTCTCTCTCTGTTCCATGCAGGAAGAACAAGCGGATCTCGAAGGGCAAGAAGGGTGGGAAGAAGAAGGCGTGAGTTGCTCGATTCTTCGGTGCTTTTTGCCCTGTTTTGAGCTGCCGATTCTGCTGTTGTTTTGATCTTTTCTCTCGTTCTGGTCTGGCGGTTGTAGGGTTGATCCGTTCGCGAAGAAGGACTGGTACGATATCAAGGCGCCCTCTGTGTTCACCGTCAAGAACGTGGGCAAAACGCTTGTTTCTCGTACGCAGGGTACAAAGGTACCGTTTTTATTGTGTCTTGGCGTAAATCTGACGGCTGGTGTTGGACCCGTCTCGGTGTTCTGGAATGCTTGGATGAGTTCTCGTGTTTGCGTCAGAAAATCGTTTGAAGATAATTGCAAGTGGTACTGTGTGGAGTTCAGCTAAGTCTGGGCTCAACGCCACGAGACATTGTGAAAATAACGTATTAAAAGTTGATGAGTTATGTTCTTTTGTTTGTTTTCATTTGGTGCCTTTTGATAAGTAGGCGATGGACTGATTACATTCTCTTGATATAACACAAAAATTGGTGGAAGGGACAAGTTGTTAATGGAGCGAACTTTTTTTTGGAAAAATTCTGCTCTGGATACGGACTGGGAATTTGTTGGTTCTGTGAACTTATACATTAGATCGTTGTATTCTCATTTGAAGTTTGTTCCTGTGAAGTTTTTTCTCCTTGAACTGGGAACTTGGGTTTAGGTTGTATTCCCCTGACAACTTTCCCACGAAGCATCAAAGTTTTTTCTTGCTGTTTAGTTCAGGACTTGTCAAGGGCTTGATCAAGTGATATTCTATCCTTACCAAAATGGAAGAGTTCTTTGTTTCGATATCCATCGTCCGTCCCTGGCATAACCTATCCCAAAATTGATGTCTGTGGAGCTTCCATGATTGACAAATTGATGTCAAATGGTATTTGCATGAGAACATATGATATCCTGTCAAACCAATGAGCCTTATAGATGTGGATTTGCGGTCAACACTTATATAAGCTGTGGCAAGATGACATGGCTCTTGGAGTAAAAATTACTTGTTAATCAGGATGTGCACATAGGCGTAGGTTAAGTGGCATTGTTTTCTTATGATTGCCCCATTCACTCTGGCTCCTTGTAAATGCCTTTTTATAAATTTGCAAACCCATGTATGTCCATATTGAGTTAAAAAATGGTATCTACATGCAAGACTTATGGGGCCTATTCCGCAGATTGCTTCAGAAGGTCTCAAGCATAGAGTGTTTGAGATATCGCTTGCTGACCTTCAAGGTGATGAGGACCATGCGTACAGGAAAATCCGTTTGAGATCTGAAGATGTCCAGGGTAGAAATGTCCTGACTAATTTCTGGGTAATTTTACGTTTACGATTGCTCAATTCTGTCCTTGTTTATTTGCATGTTGACTCCCTCTTGACTCACTGTTCTCCTGTGGTAAATTAGGGCATGGACTTTACAACTGACAAGCTGAGGTCCCTGGTGAGGAAATGGCAAACTTTGATCGAAGCCCATGTTGATGTCAAGACGACAGATAATTACACATTGAGGATGTTCTGTATTGGCTTCACTAAGAGACGGCCTAACCAAGTCAAGAGGACCTGCTATGCTCAGTCTAGCCAGATTAGACAGGTTATTTTCTAATGTTGAGCCATAATTGACTAGTTTAATTGCATAGCTAAAGTAGTAATTCATGCAGCTTTGGGATTTTTCATGACTTCTTTGACATGATCTTCTATCTTGGGATCATATAATGTTCTTGTTAAAATTTTGAAGAATTACAACGTGGGTGATCTATATGTGACGTCCCATAGATAGTATATCTTCAACTTGGCAACAGTTATTTTAGTCCTGTTGTGTAAATTTTTTATTTGCAAAGTTCCTGCATCAGAATGCATACATTCACAGGTGATTAACTAAACAGTATTACTTTGTTTCTCCTTTTCAGATACGTAGAAAGATGAGGGAAATCATGGTAAACCAGGCAACATCTTGTGATTTGAAAGAGTTGGTCCGCAAGTTCATTCCAGAATCAATTGGAAAGGAGATTGAGAAGGCAACATCAAGCATCTATCCCCTACAGAACGTGTTCATCCGGAAAGTGAAGATCTTGAAGGCTCCTAAGTTTGACCTTGGGAAGTTGATGGAGGTATATTCCTTGTTGGAGCACCTATAAAAATTGTTAAATGTTGAAGTATGCCTGAATCTGGATTGACAGACAAATCTTTTTACTTTTGCCATCTTCGATATGTGCAGCATGAAAAAGTTTGTGATGTTCCATTTTCAGCATTTGGGAATCTAAATCTTTCTCTAAAATAAGAGGAAAATCGTTGATAATTTGCCCCTGCCAATTAGAACAGAGATGATTTTGTAGCCTAGTTTGCTTAAAGGATCTTTGCTTGGCCCTAACATCTTCCACAATGTCGGAGCCATGCTAATGATCATTCTGTTGGTCTTTCTATAGGTCCATGGAGATTATTCGGAAGATGTTGGTGTGAAGCTGGACAGGCCAGCTGATGAAACAGTGGCAGAGGTGACTACCGAGGTTGTTGGAGCTTGAATGTAGAGTTAATGAGATGCTGAGAATGTGTCTTATTTGTGAGAGTTACCTTGATCATTTCCATTTGAAGGGAGGTTTTATTTGTGAACCTGCCGAAAATTTTCTTTTAAGCACCTTATGACTGTTGTTTCATCAAGGAAGAGAAGACAATTTTGTTCTTTAATTTTGTAGACACCCTTAGATTTTTGTTCTCAGCCATCTAAATTATGGCTGTTTATCAAGCCGTTTTTCTACGAGTCTAAGATGTGCCAAATTTTGTGCAACCTTTTTCATGGGACACTTCAACAGGTCCTCTGTCAGACATTTGGTTTAAATTGTATGCAACCCTGCATCCATATATCGACCAATTTGTGATCCCTTAACAAGTCCCTTGTTCCCTTTGTTTTCTCCAAGAACTAAGAGTATAATGGTCCTGTCCTACAGCCATCTGAATATGTTGACGGATAAGCTCCTTGTATTGGTGCTTTCGGTGCTTTAGGCATTTGATCGAGGATGTTAAGCATTCTTGGTCGGACGATCAAATGTCCCTCATTGTCATCTGTTTTATATTTAGGTGAATTTCTGTCCAGTTCACGGCAATTCTTTTGTACCGAGAAAAACTACAAAACTATTATTACATTAATAGGGAGAAATGCCATTGAGCATCTTGAAATTTTTTACTACAGGAAGGTACATGTCCATGGAAACATTCCCATATGAATAAAACTCGGTTCGGTTACCTTGTAACGTTATAGATGGATTTTGTTCTGCCGCTTCTGTGGTGGGATGACGCTGCCATAGTTGGAATCCAAGTAGCTACTTGATATCAAGGAGTCAAAAACATAAAGACATCAAGAACAGGAAATCACATCACACAAGCTGCACAATGACCATCTTCTGGCCTTAGTTACGAGCTTAAGTAGCGTACATGGATTCCAGATATCATAAATTCTTCATCGCAACTAAAAAGGGAAAAACGAAAAGGACACCGTTAATCGAGTAGCCTGAGCTGAGAGTCTTCCTGGGTGACGCCGTTCGAATCTGCTGATCACCATCTACTAGCAAATGGTCTACTGCAAGGATGTACATTACACGACTAAACAGAATCGCAAACATAAACTTTCTCATGATAGCGCCCATCGCTCCTAATTATTCTGGTCCCAGTGAACACAAAGGACCAACTGTTTCATACCTAACAAGAACATATTATTAGTGCATGAGAAGGGAAGGCAAAATGCAGCCATAAAAACGGGCACTTTTGCGACTCTTGCATCAGCAACTCTGCTTGCTTCAGTCACTCATCAGCATTAAGCCTCCCACAGCCGCAAAAGCAGGCCTTCTTCTTTTGCCTTTCCCCATTCCTCGATCCGCTGTAAATGAAATCCCTCAGAACGATGCCCGTCCTGCTCCTTGAGAACCTGCTCTTCCCTTTGCCTTTTTTCTCCTCCTCCATCTTCAGCAAGGCGTAGTTGATATTCTGCACCTCGAACTGCAAGCGCCCAATCTTCTCGCTCTCTTTCCTTGCCTGTTCCTTCACTTTCTGCTCCCGGACACTTTCAATGTCCTCCATCTCGACTTCATCCTTCTGATCCAATGAGGATAAGTTCACGTTGATATCTTTCACCAGATGATCGTTCATAACCATTAGATGCATGACTGCCTCCTCCGCTTCTTCTAGCTCCCTCTTCACTGTCTCATACTTGACCTTGTGTGACCTCTTGCTCCTCTTCTTCAGTTCCGCTTTCCTTCTCATGTCTTGCATGCTCGCCTGGAGACCAGTCAACTTCTGAGCGTCAGAAGCGAGTCTGTCCAAGATCTTTTTCTTGCTCCTCTCTTTACCAAGTTCTCTACTGGTCGAGACCTTGTCAATGCCCAGTTCTTTCTCAATCTCTAGTTCTGACGAAGGGTTTAGACTCTTCTTCCATGCATCTTCAAGCATCTGATTGTTTGTCCTTTCTTCATCTCTACTGCTTATTTCATTACACACAGAATCTGAAGCTTGATCAAGTGGAATATCCTTCATCAATTGCCCTGTCTGAGAAGGAGTTTCGTATTTGGACTTGGTTGGCTTCTGATCATTACTGAGGTCATTTCCAAGTCCTATTCCCTCTTCGTGGAAATCCTTTCTCTCTAGCGAGTCACTTTCGAGATTCATAAGCGCGTTTTCTCTTTTCTCCATCCCGATCCTTCCCATTTCTTCCCTGACAGCCTTTTCAACAGCTTCAATCCTATCTTGCATCTTCTGCAAATCTGAGACTGCTGGTACTGTAAAGCTTTGTTCATCTTGGAACTTGGCATGTCCGTTTTCATGAAATTGATATGGCTCTTTCGCATCCTGGAGAGAATTATAACAGAACAAGTTATCATCTTCAGCTGAACTAAGCTCATTGCTCAAATGGCACTATACTATATGATGCAGCTATAGGGAATGGAAAAGTCAATGATTTGCATGCCTTTACTCTTTACCTTTACTCTCTGATTTTTCATATAATTCAATATTTGATTGTAGCAGAAAAAGAAGAGACTTTCTCATTTAGTTATTACTTTTCGGTTTATCTACTCAGTTGTTTTGAAATGCAAACTTATTCTCGATGATGAACAATACCTTGTGCTTCCAGTCATTGGATTGTGGCTTGAGAGATGTCATCCCATCTCTAAGAGATGATAGGATGGGAACATATGCAGATAGCTCACTCTTTAGTCCACCAATTTCACTCTCTAAGAACCCAAGTTTTTCTTTCATCTGTTCAATATCCCCATTCTTCATGGCACTTTCACCCCTCAAGCTTTGACAGACTTCACTTAGCTCCTGAACCTTATTTTCAAGAAGAACTTCTCGAACGGAAGAAATTTGGAGATCGAAGTAAAAAGTTGCAGCCTCAGCCTCCCAAAGTTCAAACTCATTGCTCCTCTCTAGCAGCTCTGAACTCAAATTCTCTTCTCGAATCCTGTGTTCCTCGATTTCATTCTGCAATGTGTTCACTTTGAGCTCCAAATTCTGTTTTATTTCCAGAAGACTTTCAATTTGCTCCTCCTGTCTTTTCCTTATTTCAGATAACTCATGAATCTGCTTTTCTACAATTTCTCTACCCAGTCTCGACTCTTTGTGCTCCCTTTTTAGTTCCTCAACAGTTCTCGACAATTCAATGGCCGAGAACCGTGAAAGCTCCAGTTTTTGGTCTACTTCTGAAAGTTCCTTTGCCTTCTCTCTCAGAAAATCGTTGCCAATCAAAATTTGGTGGTTTAGTTGATCGTTGAAGTCTCTCACTTCATTGAACTCTCTGGCCAACTTCTCGATCGAGTCAACCAGGAGTGACTTTTCTGCCCTTTCTGTCCCTAGTTTCCTCCTCAGCATTTGAATCTCCTCCCTTAGATCATTGTTAATCACTTGGAGGCCACAAAGATCAGCAGCAAGAGCTTTTAGTTCTTCAGCTTTCTCCATTCCAAAGCTCTGGAAAACTAGAGATTGGTTACCAAGAGAATTCAGTTCTTGGATTATCGCAGAGTTTTCCTCTTCAAGGACACGCTTTTGTTCTTCCGAATCTGTAATGTTCTCCAACAAAGCTTGGTTTTCAACTAGTCTGTTGGAGTTATCTTCCTGCAAAAGCTGGTAAGCCATCTGCACATCAACCAATTTCTCACGCATCACTTTCATATCAGTCTCTAGCGCCTCCTGCTGTTGCTCTGCCTTGCCTAGATCCGATTTTAAGAGGTTTTTTATCTCTAGAAGCTCATGCTTATCTTTTTCCAGCATCATACATTGCTCGGTCAAGATTCTGAGCTCCTGCTGGAGGAAGTCTTTACTTGACTCAAGCTCGTTACACTCTAATCCGAGTCCTCTGAGAAAAGCAATCAGCACGGTGTTCTCAAACAGCAACTTTTGCTCTTCATCCCTGCTCCTTGTCAGTGATTTCTTTAATTGCCCTATTCTGTCCAAGATATGCACAAAAGGCGGTCGGTCAAGTTGGGAAGCTATTTGCTGTTTCGTGATCTCACCTACACGCCCTACTTCTGCATCAATTTGGAGAGCCCTGAACACCTGATAAATTTCTGTTTTCAGCCTTCCAATTTCATCGGCCAGCATTTCCCCTTCTACCTGCTGCTCGAGGTTTTCGCTCTCCAGTTCATCAATCAACTTATTGGATAATTTTGAGGCTTCAACGTGTTTCTGACATTCTAACAAGAGGGACAAATTCTTTGCTTCTAGATCTTCTACAAACTTCTGCAAGATGAATATCTCAACTTGTGAATTTACGGCTTTCTCCACTTCTTCCTCAAATTCCTTCTTCCTCAGTCGAATTTCTTCTTGCAAAAAGCTTACATGGTTTTCCAAACCTGCCAAACGTGCCTCGCTTGATTGTACGTAAGTTGCACGTTCTTGTTTCTCTACACCAAGGTAGCCCTTTAAGTCTTCAACTTGACAAAGAGTGGTCTCTTTCTCCTTCTCCAGTCTATCACATTTTTCTTCCAAGTTGGCAAACCTCCTTTCAAGACTTCCAAGCCTCTGCTCCACATTATCCAAGTGCAAGGCAAGGTTGCCTCTTTCACTTATGAGGCTGGATTTCTCATTAATGAGCAACTGGCAGAATTCGTCTAACCTCTTTGATTTTTCTCTCAAGCTCTCAGCCTCAGATCTTGCAGCGGACATCGAACTCTCCAAGGATGAGTTTTTCTCCAAAAGCTTCTGCATGTTCTCAGTGATAATCTGTAGCTGAGAAAGCAAAGCAGCTTTATCAGCCACAAGACTGCATTTTTCTCCCTGCAATGATTGGCAATTTTCCTGCAATAGCTTGATCTTCTCTTTGGATTCTTCTAATGCACTGCTTAACTGGGACAAGGATCTTTCAAGCATCTCATTCTTCTCTGAAATTGTGTCCATGTTCTTTAACTTTTCATAAAGAACTTCTCTCTCATCTCTATCCCTTTTCTGGATCTCTTTCAACTCAGAGTTCTTGCTTTGCAACTCCTTCACTGTTTGTCCGAAACATAGAGGATCGAGACCTGCCAACTCAACTTGCGAGAGAAGCGCTTTATAGCACCCATTTAAGGCCTCAATTTCTTCTCGCAATTGAGTAATCTCTTGCTGGAGAGCAGTACTGTGTGCTAATTGTGTTGCAAAATCCTGCCCAAGCTTCTCTTTCATCTCCCTCAAGCTATATAGATCATTCTTCAAATTCTTCTCCGAGATGGCGCAGGATGTGTTGAGTTCAGTAAGGCTTCGGTTTTCTTCCTTGACCTTTGTGATCTCTTCCTCCAAACCATGTTTGCACGTCTCCAAATCCTTCAACATTTGAAGCCCACTTTTAATTTCCAAAGCCAGATCTCTCTGCTCTTTCTGAGACTCATAGTGCATCTTCTGTAAAGTCTCCAGACTCGCTTGAACGTGGACAAATTGAAGGCGATCACCTTGCATTTGTTCTTGAAGCTTCCGCAACTCTTCATGCTTCCTAGACAGTTCTTGGTCCTTCATTGCAATCTTCTGTGATAGGTTCTCTGCATCGGACTGCAGAGACTGGTTTGACTTCTCCAATAAAAGACGCCGCTCTTCAGCATTCTTCAACTTCTCGGCACCTATTGCAACTTCATTATTTAGCCTTGTGGCATCATCTTGAGCGCGAGAAAGCTCACTTTCCATCCTAGCCAAAGTCTCGAGACACTGCTTGTACAGGAATGCGATTGCTTCTTTCTCTTCATTTGATTTAACAACAGCCTGCTCCAGCTTTTGAATTTCTGCATCTGCCTTCACAGCTTGCTCAGATAGCTTATCAGCATCCATCTCTGCGAGTGAAATTTTACTTTCTAGAACAGATATTGTCTCCAGGCATTGTCGATACTGAAGTAGACCAGCTTCTCTTTCAGCCTCTAGTCTGGAAAGTTCATGCTTGAGATTCTGCATTTCAGTTTCTGCAGCAATAGCCTGCTCACTAAGACCTTTCGCATCCTCCTCAACTTGAGAGAGCTGCATCTCGAGGCTGGATATCTTTCTTAGACTCTGATTGTACTGAGCAAGGCTAGCATCCCTTTCAGCCTCAAGTTTCTCTAGCGCTTCCTTCAATATTTTTATCTCAATGTCTGCTTTGCTCGCTCGATCGTCGAGACCTCTCGCATTCTCCTGAGCATGGTCTAGATCACTCTTCAGGTTAGATATCTGTTCCAGAATTTGCTGGTATTGTGAGAGCATAGAATCCTTTTCAGCTTGGATCTCAGCCAAGATCTTCTTCAAGGTTTGAACCTCGATTTCTGCCCTGCTTGCACGTTTGGACTCTGAAGCGACTTGGTTTTTGAGATTTTGATTCTCACTAGATAACTGCGACAAACCATTTTGCAAAATTTCAGGTAGGTTCGAGCCTTTGCTAGTTTTTCCATCAGCAGCCCTATATTGAGAAGTCACTTCGTCTGACTCAAATATCTCATGCACCTGTTTCAGACCTTTCTTACTTATACAAGAGGTGGAACCTGAGATTTCCGAATATCCTCCATGTCTTTTTACACCAGATGCATTGTTTGAAGAGAGAGATGAAGCATCTCTATTTGAATCATTCATATCAAATGATGCACGGCGAGGCTGAGAAATTTCTGGTGCATGAGGATCAACCTCACCTCCTGAGGAAGAGGAGGCTGAATCTTCGGCTAGTACGTCAGGTACTTGATCGGGAAATGCTTCTGCCATAGTTCGATGGGCTTGGCGAAGCTCCACTGTGGCATGGTTGTACCTCTCTGCTAGCGCACGATAAGCGCGGTAGAACTCCTCAACCAATTTCATCAGCTCCGGGCGTCTCTTGTAGTACATTTCAGCCCTCCTTGCAAAAGAGTCCGCATCTTCTTCGATGAGTTTGATCATTGCTTTGACTTTGGCATCCATATCTGGTTGCAGAAAAAAAAAGAAAAGCTAAGTTAAAGTAGTGCGGTTGTGAATGTAGTGAAATGTGCATATCGCACATGTATGCAAGAAAATGCATTTTTAAGCTGCTCTGGCATTGAGGGTATAGTAATAGCAAGGTCTGAATTTTATGTTGGGTATGCTGGAACTGATACTCAAAACAGTAATACTTGGACGCGACGACAGTTGAGAAAAAACAATTGAATTTCCAATACTTGCAGATGAAGCATGAAGAAGACCTCCAATCCAATGTCCAATAACCAATACATATACTCTAGGATCAGAAAATAATGAACAATCTATGGTGATAAGCTCAGCAAAGTCATTTCACAACCTTTTTTGCCGGCAAAAAATCAATGCACAACTTAAGTAGTAGACATAGTAACTCAGCTAGCAAGCAAGACTCTAGTGAATACAAAATCTACAGATCTGTATAGGGGCACATGATTGAGAAGTTATTAGACATAGCCCATTTTTTTGCTCTTCAAGTCGGGATGCTTTCAAAAAAAACTGTTCTTCCTTCGAGAATAGTTCTTCCGGACATTCGGTCAATGAGAGTGCAATAGCAGCAAAGGTAATTCCATGACTCAATTATTATTGACCCAAGAACAAGCTAGCATCTTGTAGATTGAAAAGCCATTTGAAGAGGATCCTCTTCATGAAAGCAAAAGTCCAAACCATTTTGAATCAAGACGCTTGTATCTATGTGCAGTTGGGAAGACTTTTCATGAAAGCAGAACATTACCGGTGAGATTTTCCTGAAGCCATTTTGAATTCTTTGGACTAATGTGGCTACTCCACCACCAAGAATACAAGCGTCTTGATTCGCAATGTAACAGAGTCGCCATCATCACAGCAAAAAACAGTGCTGCAATTGGTTTCGACTTAGCAAAAGCCTCGTCCTTGGACCAGTGACAAAGGCCAAGGTTGTAGATCCAGGCCAGAGTAATAATACCCGAGTCTCCAACTTAGCAGCTTTTTTCAGATAGTCTTTCTCTGTGAACTGAAACATAAAAGGTAAGCAAATGTGAGCGTAGCAAAGATAATGTATGGAATTTTGACTGTCAACCAAAAGGAAACACTGAGGATCTCTGATAAACTGGAGATTTTCAAATTAATTTGCGTTTGTCACTCCAGACTCCTTCCTACCATCAAAGCAAATATGCAAAGAAGAGGAAAGAGAAATGGTAATGCCTAATCCAAAACTGCGGGTTGCTTAATCTGGGACTAAGAGTGAAGGGCCATAAATTGTCAGTACCAAGGATATGCTCAAATTCCTACAAAAGAAATGTTCCTAAAGCAGCCAACACAAATCCAGAAAATAAAAAGTAAATAACCCGGTAGGTGAAAAAATTAGTGAATGGATTGATTTGTTCAAAACAAAACATTTTTTACTAGTCTAAAATAGTTCTAAACTTTATGCACATAGATCAATCAGTAAACACATAGCAAAAGAAATCCACAATGAGAAAATAACTCCAGGATGCTCCATGATGTAGCAGGAGGAGTTTACTCCAAACATCAAGCAATAAAAATTTACCAAGTAAAGTAAAAGAAACAAAAAGCTTTGAATTTTCCTGCAAGAGAGCCAGAGCACAAACAAGAACTCTATTACAGTCAGTTTTCCCAATTCAGAAGATCAAAAGCTACCAAGTCCAGATCAGCTCATTTCTTTTAGGATCAGCAAGCCAAACCCAAGTCAAGGAAGAGAAGATTGAGCCCAAAAGCAAACTTTTCACCTAAACCCACTATATCTTTCTTGTTCTTTTGGCTTCGTCCAGATGAGATCAAGAACTCACCAAATGAACCGGCTTTAACTTGCAGATCAGGAAGCATTGCAATCACCGTGGAAAGAGATTTTTCTGACGACCCTGAAGCTCCGAGATCAAGCACAAACCGAAAGAGTGAAAATGTATGATCAGGAGATGCGCTAGTCACTGGACTCAGCAGCTGTGATGGTAGACTTCCAGCTGCTACAGCTCTATCTTACCCCATTTTCTCTCTCTTCTTTCTCTCACTGGAATAATTTCTCTGTTTCTCTCATTGATGGGTCACTTTGGCATTGCATTTCAAGATTCAGGATTGGGTAGTGGGTACTGTCCGTTGTGAAGGGGAGAGAGAGAAACTGAAACAGGCAAAGAATGGCCAGGGGTAACAACAGTCCAGTGTGAGCATGAAGAAACACTATGAAAATGTTCAGATATTTCTTTCTCTTTTTTTCTCTTGGCAGTTTGACTTTTTGGTAAGAAATTAATGAGGGTGAATTGTAGAATCTGACGCAAGAGGATTTGACAGGCTAACATTGTATATAATAAATCTATTAAATCTAACTCAATCACATTTCAAAAATTTATAAAACTCATGCTGATTTTTTTTTTAAAAACACGAGTTTCTTTACAGCTAGCTATAGAATACATATGAAGTATATTTTTTGACACAGTGTACACATGACTACTCATAAAAATAATTTTATGGTCGAGTGGTCTGACTACTAAGTAATTTTATTTTATTTTTTGGTCGGAGACTACTAAGTAATTCAAAAACCCAAAATTTACTCGCTTACATATTTTTTTCACTGCGTTTTCTCTCGATTTTTAAAGGTGGGAATTGGACTTTCTTGGGTGGGGAGTGATCAATGGGGGTGAAGCCTGAGGTTTTTGCACTTTCGCATTAAGACCCAAATGATTTTGCTCTGTGAAAATGTGGTAATGATTCAGCTTTTCATTGTGTTTCGAAAAAAGAACCATAGATCTCCAGACTTTGCTGTCCTTTGTCGCCTCTCTTGTCGTGACAGAATTAGTGACTAATCTGCCCTTGCTTCAGATCTCGACAACGTGCTTTTCCTTGTGCTGAGGATGGTTCACATTGCACATATGCAACAGCTTACCTTTCCCGCTTTGCTTTTCTTTTTCCCTCCTTTTTCTTGGGCAGTGAAGATACAAAGGATCACTTCACCTATAAGGCTATGAGCTACTAAGGGATGGGATTAGTGACTAATTACTGATTTGCATAGGCTAACCACAACTTGTTCTAGAGGAGCTACCACTTGAGAGGTTGAGGATGGGATTTTTTCAACAATGTGGACCTTTCTGAGGTGCATCTAAACTGGCTAGACACTCCTATATGTGCACAAAAAAAAGGAAAAGGAAAAATTTGGATACCATCTTTAAGAAAAAAGGGTTTTGTCCGTTTAGAGTAACTTTTGATTACCCTTTCAATTTATTCTTATAGATAGAAAGTTTTCTGTTTTTCATATTTGAGATGTTGACTTTTGCGTGATACGAAATCTTACGGATCTTTAGAAACCTACACATATGGCACTTAGGGTTCATATGTGTAAGACTATGATGGCTTTTTAGCACTAATTAGTAGTCCTGTGATACTCGATAATGGGTGTTGGTTATACTTTAGAAATTCTTAAAATGCTATGAAATATATGTTGTCAATATTCATTGTTTTCACTGTGCATAGAAAAGCTTTCCTACTGTTTTTAAGGGCCTTATGAACTTAATAATATATTTTCTCAGCAATGGTCATGCTGTATAGATTTCAGCAAAGTAATGTACTTCAATGGATCGATTGATTGACATCCAAATTCCAAAGTTCCTCCAGCCAAAAACTATATTTCAATTTAAGGAAAAAACAAACAAAATACAGCTCTCTAATTAGTTTTTATAGTATTCCACCAAAAAAAAATTAGTTTTTATAGTCAGTTGGTGACTCCTAAGTGTCAATGGGTGCACTTATTCACCATAATTCAAATGAAGCAAGTTGCGGTTGACATTTTGACTTCCTCCCCCACTAGAGAGTAGCCAAATCACTTAAATGTCACATAATTCAACATAATTAATGGTATAGATAAAGGATCTATGTAATTAGAAGCATAAACGGTAGGTCCATCAAGGCAATTAAACATGGATTCCCTTCCCCAAAATGTTTTATCATACAAGTCATTCTATACCATAGATGTATATAATCACATATAAGTAATTCATATTAAGCGAGAGATGCACATGCAACTTTAGCCACGTTGCATAAAATATGAAACTGCCATAAATATAACAATCAAAACCCGAGGGGTGCACACATTAGGTTTTTCATCTATTTGAGATATCTCGAGTAGATGATGAATTGCTTGTCATTGACTCTCTCGAGAGATTGATCGGGAAAATTACTAAAAAAATCATAAACCTATTTTAATTGAGTCAATCAATTATAATTTTTTTTTTTGCTTTTTGAGTCTTAAACATTTTGTATTTGTGCCAATTCAGTCCATCCGGTCTATTTTGGCAAGAAATAGCTAACACTGACACCGACAGCCGACATGGCGCGATTGGCGTTGACGTGAATAATTTATAATAATATTTTAATATTTCGTAGATTTTTTTTATTTTTTCTTTTCTTTCTCTTTCTTTTTTCTTTCTTCCCTTCTTCCTCTAGCCTGTCGCCGGGTGTTGGCGAGGTCGAGCCTCGCCTAACCACTAGCGAGGCTTGCCAGTGGCCGGTAAGGTCAACCTCGCCTAGCCACTAGCTAGGCTCGCTAGTGACCAGTAAGGTCAACCTCGCCGACCCTGGCCAGCGACCGGCTAGAGGAAGAAGGGAAGAAAAAAAAAAGAAAAGAGAAAGAAAAATAATAAAAAAATCGAAAAAATTATTTAAAAATATCCACGTCAATGCCAGCGACACTACGCAGGACGCCAGGCGTCCATGTCAATGATTTCCGGCCAAACTTGACCGGATTGACTGAATTGGCACAAATGCAAAATGTTTAAGACTCAATTGGCATGCGATTCTACTGATAAATGGATTAGAGGGTGGAGACGTTAGTATCACAGGTGCAGGGTTCAACTCCCGCACTTTGCAAGAGATAGAGTAAAGGTCAAAGAGTGAAGAGAGTTAGAAATATAACAGACAAAAAAAATTGAAAAAAAAAAGATTTAAGAATGAATTGACACAATTATAGTAGACTTATAACCGTTTAGGTAATTCTCCCGGGATTGTTCGGTAGATGCTTCTTTCTAAAGCCATTTCAATCTTGTTTCCTATGGGCACGGAGGATTTAGAATTTTAGATTCTGGCTGATAATCGTGGCCTTCTCTTGAGGTGGGGGCGTCACCCTTTTCAAAGGTGGGGTGGGGGGGGACTTCTAGGGACCGGCGGTGGCTCCACACCCTTTTTGTCATCTCTCTCCCAAAAAGTCTCCAATCGGAGATTCATACCTTTATGGCGACGGCTCTCATTTCGTGGAGGTGGGGGGTGGTATGGTTGGCAACCTAAAAACAAATTGTAGTTGAAAACTCTGACTCCCCTTTTGAAGGCCATTGTGGAGTTATTTACCTTTCAGCAGGGAGAATTGGTAATTGTGTCAATTCAGTTTTGAACTTTCTTTTTTTTTTGATCAATTGAGTTCTAAATATTTTGCATTTGTGTTTGGCGAGGGTCGAGCTCCCCAGTTTCAGGCGAGGCTAGACAGAAGCTGCCCTCGTCCAGCACCGTCGTCATTGACTTCAATCTTGTGATGGAGCAGGAGCCCACCTTCATTGTGGACAATAATCCCCACTAGGACATCAATCTCCCCGAAGTTGGCGAGGCCGACCCTCGCCGCCGGCAAGGTGACCTTAGGCGACCTCGCCCCTGCCAGGTGAGCCTCGCTCGACTGGCGAGGTCGACCCTCGCCATATTTCGATGAGGGCTAGCCTCGCCAGATCCGGCAAGAGTAAGCCTCGCAAGTGGCTAGTCCATCAAGGAGGTCGGCGATTGCGGATGAAGAAGGAAAACAAAAAGAAAAAAGAAGAAAAGAAACTAATAAAATAACTCGAAAAATATTAAACTATTGTTAAAATTGTCCACATCAGCGCCGACCGTGCCACATAGGTGAGCACTTTTTTCGGTAATTTTCTTCCTTTTAGCAACCAAATATCGTTTTCAGGTGCAATATTCAAGTGTTTTATCGTTTGAAGCTCCTTTTGATGCTCAAATTTGCGCAAAGAGCAGCAACCTCAGGTCCTCAAGGGAAGAATAACAAAGAAAAACTCGAGGGCAAAAAGAAACAAAAGAAAGAAGAGAGTCATCCAATAGCGACGGCCTAACCACCTTGAGCATGATATTTTTGCTTGGAGTAGCAGTAAAATAGTGACATCTCACGTTGCCTTTACTTCAATATAAAGTCAGATCTTATTATATTAGCAGTATGGATAATTACACAAACAGTCTATGAACTTTAATTTAATATGCAATGTGCTCTCTGAATTTTTAATTTGTTCAATGTAGTCCCTAAATTTTGGTCCAACGTTCAACGTGGTCCCTAAACTTTTAATTTGTTCAATGTGATCCCTAAACTTTTGATACATATTTAATGTAGTTCGTGAACTGTATAAAAATGTCAAATTCGTCATCCTCAAAAGTCAAGATGAAGTGAACGTGCGTTACGTACTCCAGTGAAATTATAGGAATACTAGGCATATGATCGAACACTACCGACATTATCATCTAATTGACATTCTCAACATGTTAAAAGTAATGCACTTCAACAGACACAGTCCTTATGTTCTTGGAGCAGAAGGCAAAGATCGTTTCATCGGTCTATTCAGGTGAGAAGTGTACAAAGGAGAGAGAACGAGGGCTCCCCTCCTGCATAGGTTTTTACAAGACAACATGACGTTGGGATGTCACAATGAAAATGCTAACTTGTCTTATCAGGAAATGTAGCTGAAACGTTTAGACGAACAATACCAGGAAAACGATGCTCCGTGCATGAAGCGACAATCATCTCGATATGTTTTGTTCACGCTCACGAAAGACGTTATCGTGTGCAATTCGACTATCGCTGTCGTTACCCACCGGCATAGAATATGTTGATACTCATCGATACGACAATCATCCTCATCCAGTTGTTTTCCGTTCATCCGACTGAACTGCACCCGGAACTTCCATATTGAAGAACACCAAAACACAGAACTCGCCGACACTCTCGCATCCCTTACTGACCACCTAACGCTGCAATGAATTGCTGCAATACACGACGTACGATGGTCAGGGCCGGTGGCCAGTACAGACCACGACAGCGCCATTTGAGTTACGATCAGCACGTGATGACTCAACGCAGGAATTCAGACCATCATCGTTCGGGAAACATGGTGGGTCCTGTGACCACATGGGTTGATTGGAG